TTCCGCTGTATCCTGACTTCTTCTTTCCATGAAAGCAGGAGTTTCGTGGTACGACACAACTCGGTAGAATGCATGATTTCATCGAGAATCGAATTAATGGATCTGCTCTTAGATCGCTTGATTGAAAATTTTTTGATTGGGTATGATCATAAACAAGTTGTGCCATTGACGTTGAGTTATCACACCTTAACGAGAGATCAAAATCCGTCAACATTATGTGATCAAAATATTTTCAGGCTTCAATCACGATAAATTAACCCTAACATGTGTAGGTATTCTAGAGCAGCCACCACTTCAGATGCATAGGACATGATGATTAACAATAGCAATCATCAAATCGCATTTATAAATTTTTAGTAGTTTCTAAAATTAATCAATTAATGAGTTAAGAGTTTCTTAACTTATTCTATTTGTATTATTCGCAAAGTCAACCGTATATACTGAAAATGACCATGTAACAGAATAATTTTGAACCATTTTTTGGTACTAAAATTTATACCCCGGTTCACTCAATACTGACATTACAATTATTTCATGGTTCACTCTCCATGTACAGAGATATTCCCATAGAATTTCACCATAAAACTCTCAATGAGTGGACCCCACCATGTGTTTAAAAAAAATTCAGCAAGACCCACGTGCGCGCGCATGTTTCGATGAAATTCTGTGGCTTCTGCTTATGTACAAGCAGCAAAGCTCTTATTTCACTTAGCATGTAATAATTAAGTAAATCATCCTTATATAATAATTAACTTTTAAAATAATGTCGTCCTTCAACGTAGTGAAGTAAATTAAACTTTCACAAAAAATAGGATGTGCACAAATGTGAAGGGTGTGAAGAAGTACTCACCGGACAGCAGCTTCGTCGAACCTTTTTCCGGGTTGTCGTTGCCGGAGAATGTGAAGGTCGCCACCGAGACAAAAATCGGTCAACAAACAAGACCACCTAGGACAATCCAATACAGTATAGAGTGAGGGCAAAAATGGATGGTCCACCATTTCAAGTATTTCCCTCTCTATCCCTGCCCTACTCTCTTTGTTCCTATATGCCAACTCCTCTTTGTCCATAACCTTGGCTGCAAACATGCACCCTTTAGACCCTTTGAGCTCCACAAGATAAATAGGGCCTATGTCGCCACTTCCAAGCTTCTGAATGAAGGTGAAGTCATCAAGTGTCGCAAGGTGCATATCGGGGACATCGGTTGCGGCCGCCGAGGCGGTGGAGGCGGAGCTAGGAATATTGTCGAGGCTATGGCTGCTTCTTCCATATATTTTTGCATGGTGGAGTAATTTGGTGTGAAGAAAGATGAACGATATTGTTGACATACAAAAATGAGGCCCAATTAAATGGTCCAAGGAGTAAAGCCCAGTTAGGAAATTCGAACGATGAACCCAAACGGGATCATATAAAAATCCAAGACGGAGTTATGTAATAAAGGCACATCCTCGCTTAAGCCCGCGAGACGCCAGACGCCTAATATCCGGGCGAGCTTGTCATCACTCAAGCCTATGTGACGTCCAAGATCTGAGCGAATATAGTGTTTTAGTTACTATTAGGAGCAACGGTTATTGAAGCAGTTAATGGGTAATTTAATCACATTCCATGATCCAAGAATCTCGGTTGCAAGGAATTAAATGATGAGAGTAATGGCAGTGGTTGAAAACGGTAGTTTCTTGACAAATTATCCATGATGGAGAAAGTGGGTAGTTACAGAACGATGGGCAGTTTCAGGAGTTTTCAAACAGTTTTACAAGAGAGAAACTGTCAAAGGAGTATAAAAGAAAAAAAAATTTACAAGAGAAAAGAGATCAAAACAACTCTCAAACAGAGAATTATGTAATTTCATTTCTAGTTAACTTTCAATTATTTTCTTCTACAATTCGTGTGTTTGCGCCTCTTGGAGGCATTTTGTTTCATCTATATTGTAATCTTTATCAATAAAGTACTCATCGTTGGG